ATGAGGAGCGCAGGGAGATGAAGGAAGGCAGTAAGTGCGGCAATCGGAGCTAAAGGGTGCGGAAAAACTTGGGATTTTAACCTGAATATCTTAAGATTGTCACAAGAACAATGTTTAGATAGAGCGCAAAGGGGCTAAGCATACTGAACTGTCACCCAGCCAGATGACAGGATTAGTAACTTCCTTGCCACTGTGACTTCACTGAGCAGATCCAGGCGGGTGGGACCCGAGGACACTACTGGGGCGCTGGCCAGGGAAGCTCTAGGGCACCCAGAGGTGCCTGCTGGAGGTAGGGGTGGGTCAGTTCCCACTTTCCCTAGGACGCTCTGTTATAGCACCACACATGCTAACCCAAGACACGGCAAAGTGGTAAGATGAACTATGAAAGAGGCATGGAGAGAAGGGGGGGCGGCCGGCAGCACCCCCTTCACCTTCCTCTGATGCAAGCCCACTCGGAGAGTGCTACACACCTCGCGGCAGAGCGCAGAGTGGGAGGCCGTGGCATCTCGGTCATCCGCTGCTCCATGGCAACCTCGCCACATTCTCAGTCCTTTATCTGTACAGTGGAGGTAATGTCACCTCCCCAAACAATACTGTGAGATTAAAGAACATACACGCAGCGCTTCAGCAGCACCCCGGGGTCCACAGGCAGCACTGTAAAATGTGAACTACTATGGTTTCATTTCTACAATATTCATGTCATTTTCTTGGTAATGGATGGATGTTATATTTTGTGATGGGTGGTGGTTATATATATGCACACATATGTAAGAAGTTCTCTAAAACATAGAGTTAAAATTTATATATTTTCCTATATATAAATTATATATTATGCTAAGATAAAAATATAAATTTAATCTTATGTAACTATATGTATACATATAGCTATACTATAATATGTACATATATTGTTATATCTCTCTGTACCTATATGCTATAGGAGTATGTAATATATAAGCATGTATTTCACTATACACATTATTTTCTCTGTTTAACAGAGTACGTGGAGAGAATTCAGGAAGCCAGGAACGGTGCCTAAGGTATCTCCCCAGGACTGACCCTCAGCATCCAGACTCTAGAGTCTGCTCTTCAAGTTTGGACTAAGTTCTCCCAGGCTGTGGTCCTCAACAGGAAGTAAGACGGCACACAATTACCCAAATATTGGAAGAGGAGAAAGAGAGGAGAAAGGGGAGGGGAGGGAGGGGGGAGAGGGAGAG